TGCTGCAGAGCAGGGCCTCGGCCCTGCCCGCGGCCACCAGCGGGGCCTGCTGACCCGGCCCGCGTGGAGCCCTGGGGACGTCTGACCCTGACCCCATCGCGAGTGGAGCCATGGGAATTAGGCTTAGGAACTAGTATATAACGAGGAATTATACACTCAGGATTTGGCACATGAATTGTGCTCTGTCATTTGTGCCATTCGTAAAATTAATTTATTCATTTTTTTAAATAAATCCTTTCAAAGACATTTGCAGAGATGAAAAATCCTAAGATATACATGTTAGGTTATACATCAGCTTGTCCTTCTTTTACTTATCTGCCAACACTTTGCTTCATGGACATTCAATATGGTTTGCTGCATCATCATCAGTGATTCTGAAATAGATAATACCTCATTACTAAACCACTATCACCTTACGCCTCCTCTCCTTCTATGCAAAAGAGATGTGAAAAAGGTTATAAAAAGTTACCTTAACGTTACAATTAGGTGACTCTTCTTACTAAGGTTTGGTGATTTCATGGTTGTAAAAGGGCAAGTCTAAAACCTCTTATTTATAATTGGCTGTTAGCACTGGTGTATAGGAAAATGAGTAATATCTTTTGTCACATAGAATGTTGAATAATTTTATTTTCAGTAGCTTGAATTTGTGCTCTTTTGGGTCTTCTTGTTTGTTTGTTTGTTTGCGTATATTCTGTTCATTATGAACTTTTAAAATAAATGTCTTCCTTACAAGGCTTGCTAGACCAGGAGGCTGTATGCACAGAAGTGGTGCATCAGGGGCCATGCACACATCATAGCCCATTCTCTCCATGACTTACTTTTAAAAATTTATTTATTTTCTCTCTAATAATTGGTGATACTCAGATTTTTCAGGATCATGAAGCCTAATCAGAAAAATGGCACATTTTTAAACCATATCATTTGAAACCCCCAGCTATTAAGCGTGTTAACTAGTGACACCAGCTAAGACCCAAGACCCAGCTGTCCCACAAACCTGCCTCTAACGGTGTCCCAGAACAAGTGCAGAACAGGGGGAATCTGCACTGCTGCTGGTAGTGACACTTCCCAAATGCACCTATTTGTAAATTACTTTTGATTCTTCTGTAAGATTTATGAGTTAAGTAATATATATGTTCCATCTGCTATCTAATTAGGCAAAAAATAGATTGCTATAGAACCCCAGTAGAAACATTTCAAATATTTCAACTGAATAATCCTTATTTATAGAATTATATTACTATATTGCATATAGTATTACAGCATGTAATATATAAAATATAATTCTATATTATTAATATTATTATATATAATAATATATAGTATATGTTTATTCATTAAGTTTTATATATCTGTAATATTACAGATTAGGGGCTGAGTTACTGGAAAGCAGCTCCATGGAGAGAGATTTGAGAGTTCTGGTTGACAAGTTAACCATGTAAAGAAGATGGGGCCAAACTCTTCTCGGTGGTGACCGGTGACAGGTCAAGGGGTAGCGGGTGCAAGCTGAACCCCAGGCAGTTTCATCTCCATGTGAGGAAGAACTTCTTTCCTGTGGGGGTGCCAGCGCCCTGGCACAGGCTGCCCAGAGAGGCTGGGGGGTCTCCTTCTCCGGAGATCTTCCAGACCCCCCTGGATGCCACCCTGTGCTCTGGGTGTGCCCGCTGGAGCAGGGGTTGGACTGGGTGATCTCTAGAGGTCCCTGCCAGCCTCAACCATTCTGGGATTCTGGGATTATCTGCAATTTCTCCATTAACTAGCTGCTATTCAGTGAGGGGGCTACATTGTTTTTTTATAGTGCCAGGGTGACTAAAAGCAAGTGTGTTTAAATTTAATGCCACACAGAAATAGAATTATACTCTGCTGATGCTCCTGGTCATGCCATCTAAGATAATCCATTAAAATCTAATGTTTAGTGAGGGCTATTTCCCATGGTGATACAGTCGTTTTTTCATTGGTTATTGACTGTGGTGGTGGTTATGTCATTTTGCCTGCTGGGTTCACTGTGACAAATGGCCCTTGTAATCTGTGTGCTCATTACTTAAACATGAACATTGCAGATACCCCGGAACTTCTACAGTTGTTACATGAATAAAGGTTGACGGTGACGGTTCAAAGAACTCCTAGGTGCAGACTTCCCATTTCTGAAATGTGAAACTTGTGATTCTAGCAGCCGCTCTTTAATACTCTCTCTAACCACTAAAGGGAAAGATCGTAATTAATCATTGCTTTTTCCCTAAGAGCCTATCAAAGTTTTGATTGAACACTTTTTCTACATCATTAAAAAATCTATCCTTATAAGTTAATAGCACATTTATTCTAATTCCAGATATTTTACTGTTTACAGATATTTTACTTTATATGTTACTCCACAGAAGTGGTCAAATCTTCTTAGAGGTTGTTGGGCAGACTCCCCAAGCACCACCATGTAAGCACTATACGTGCAAGGGTGCGTAGTGGGTGAAAGGCGAGACGTTGGAAAGGAAACACACACACAAGGTGATGGGGTGAAGCAAATCACGCGCTTTTGCTTCTGGTTGCGCTGGGGCCATGGGCTCCTGGGGCACAGTAGCACCTCTTCTGTTCCCACACACACAAGATCTAGGATCTGAGGAGCCCAAATCTTTTGTTTCCTTGTGCAGTCTGTGCCTGCAGCGCTTCCCAGATCTGCCAAGCTGGGCTGGCAAACCTCAGCGTCCTTTGGCCCAGCTCTGTGACACGCATTAAGCCCAGCTGGGAATCCACAGCATTCCCAGCGTCTCCTTCCACCTCTGAGAATCCAAGGTGATGTTTGGCTGAAACATACTTTGTCTCGGGGTTTCTGACGTTGCAAATTTTTTAAGGCTTGCTGCAATGCATGTTCTGGAGCCTGTTTCTGATGACTGGTGACCTTGCTGGGTACTCAGCAGATTACTGGTAATGCTACAGATACTGAGATTTTTGTCACTGATGGGAAGGCTAACCCCTCGTGTCAAACACTCTGAAGGACAAAGCTCTGTTCTTTGTGCTCCACAGTGTAACATTTATGTGTATGCAGTATTTTCTTGCTGCATCATGCTGTCCTTTTCTCATTGCTGTTTTTTATAGGAATTTTTCCTGTTCTCGTGCAGATGGTATCAAAACTCAGAAGCCATGAATTCCAGAAAACTGACCTCAGAAACACGGAGAGGGTTTCCTGCTACTAAAGCACATTCCCAGCAGCCATCCCGGATCGTCATCGTGGATGTCACAACACCCTCATGGACCAGCACCTGTTCAGTGCTCTCCGAAGCGCTGGAAAACACACTCTGCCTGGCGTGCAGTTTGGCAGGTCCCTGCCGCATTCCCCTGCTGAGTCTCTACGTGGTGCAGAACCACCAGGAGTGTCTGCTTCCCTTTATGGTAGGAGTGAAATTTTATCTCTTGGGATCTAACAAACAGGAATGCGGTAGCTTGTTGCAGTTCAGCAAAGAAAGTCAGCGTTTAGTACAAGTTTATAACTAAAAAAATGAATAATTTGCAAAGTTTCTTTGTTTTGTTCTGTTTTTTTACATTTAATGGAAGAAGTAGATTTTATTGCTTAAAATTAGGGGATGTCATGTCTTGCATGTGTGAAGTTGCTCATGTGCATAAATTAGGCTTCGTTCTGTTCTCTTCTATAAATTCAGATGTGGATTCCCTCTCATTCCATACTCTGCTTATTGAAACTGTTTGCATTGGTTCTCTATCTAGCTTATCAAATACAATTCTATAGCTGTAGTACTTGTGATGGTGAAATGGTCTGTACAACTACTGATTTTACAAACATTTCCATTTGGGAGGGGTTCCATGAATTTTAGAGGAAAGGATCAGAATTCAAAGTATTTTTGACAAACTTGAGAAATGTCCTGAATATATAGATCTAAGTCAATAAGAACAAGTAATTTACTTGTCTGGGGATACCTAACAGCATAAATAAACATGGAGAATTATCAGCAGCTCTGTAATAAAAGTTTGAGATAAATTTTACAAGCATCTATTAAGACAGACTATTAGAAATAGCCATACTGAGCACTCCCATTTATGCAGTCCAGTATGGTCTATTTTATTTAGCAAGGATAAAAACTCTCTAGATTATTTTTTCAAGTTTTCATATCTCAAGAAAGATATAGACTAACCATGAAAAAAAAAAAACAGCCAGCATCAGTGATCGTAAATCTAGAAAATGTGATCTGCAAGAAAACTGTGGCAAATAAGATTATCTATTCTATGGAATAAATTATAGATAATATGACCAGGATAACTAGGAGGATGCATACAGAAGACTGCCTAGAGAGACTGTGAAATCTCTCTGATTAGAGAGTTTAAGAACAGATGCTTGTCTTGCTCCTTAGGATGAAATTACATATAATTCATCCTGACATGGGAATGCGGAGATGGGCTAGACAATCTTTTTCAAAACTGGTTCCAGGCATGTTTTCTGTGATCCTGTTTTATGTCCAAATTAGTTCGCAAGTGTTGTGGGCCAAACACCTTCTTTTGGATTTGGTAGGTGTCTCCTGACGCCGTTCCTGCCCGTGCCGGCTGACGGGAGCCTCAGAGCTCCTTTGGGAATCGCGGATCACTGGAGTGCAAGTGCATGTCTGACGTGATACACAACAGCCCATCATGAGACTTTTCACACTGGGCTCTCTTGCTTGTTTGAACAACCACTCCTCATTCTGACAGTCACAGGTTTTTAAGGACAGAGAAATTATCAGATCGATGTCTGTCTTTGCATTCTATTTTACTAAAATACTCATATACCATTAAAACATTTCCTCCATAGAGATACTTTTGATCTGTGAATACTTAAATAATTAGAATATTTCCTTCCAGTGGTTAATCATTGTCACTGTGAGATTTTCACTTGGTTCCTAATTTACATTTACTGTCTTTAACTTCCAGGGATTTGTTCATGATTCCTCTTTTGGCTTGATTGAAGAAACTGCTTATATCTCATATTTTATTCCTCTAAAGATATTCCAACCCTCTCTCAGTATTCTAGCTCGTAAATGAAAGAGAACAAGCCATAAATCTTAGTGTAAATCATTGTTGCAGTCCCTCAATAACTTCTAAGCCTTTTTTTGGTATTCACTTCGTCCCCTGCCCCCAAAGCTGATTTAGTTATTGGATGCTATTCCAATACTGGAAACTGAAAACAACCTGTCCTTCTTTTGACGTGACTTGAGATCTTGACTGTTTTGTCACAGTATTGTATTTCTGTGGCACTTGTCCAATTTGGCAATGTCCACCCTCAAGCGCAGGCAGTTTTTGTGTCAGGACCTGGGCCAGATGTGTTACCCTGCCCCGCTGTCCTGCGAGCCCCTGCTCCCCTCTGCAGCTTTGCTTGCGTTTTCTGCTTAGTAATTATCTATTTTAAACAGCTGCTGGTACTAAATGCTGTCTTTCAGAACTGTTCATTCTCTACTGTAGGCAGTAAATACAGTGGGAGGGCTGTCCTCTTCAGTGGACCTAATTTCACTAAGAATGATGCAAGTATCTGGGTCTTCTTCAGACTCTGGTATCAAGAATAGCTTTATATCTCTGTCTGCTAAACATCTCTGTTCCATTTCAACCTTCTCCACAATACCAGGACTGTTGTTTTTTCCTATAAATATGGGATTCTAATTCAGATGTTGAGGGCTCTTGCTTCCTGCCAGCAGGACTGTGAGTACCCGCGCTTCTCTGACATAAAGCCCCTTGCTTAGCTGTTACTTCCAAGCTGAATACAGAATGTCCCCTTGCTCTCTGGCTCACACTCTGCCTTCCTAGAGGATTCACTCCATCCTGGACCAGCAGAAATGCGTTTAATTTTGCAAGCTAGAGCTGAAACCTCTGGGCTGATTTCTTACCCGGGCACATAGTCTTCTTATAAAGTAGGACCTGTTGTTCTTTCAGCTTGTTAAGGGGCAACAACACCCCCTTACACCACATCTTTTAGACTGAACAGCAACTTTCTCTTCAATAGTTTCCATTACCACCTGGAAAAAAAATGTACTGAATAACTTCAGAAGGGGTTTTGAGAAGTTTTTGTAGTTAACCTCTGCATCTTTAATGAGTACTATCCAAGATTAGCCATATATTTAATGGGCTTGCTTTAGTGTCAGAAAGTTTTAAAACATTTTAATCACTGTTCTTGTTAGTGAGATCTCCAAAGCAGTTTCCTAGTCTAATGGTGACCTGCAGTCAGAAATATTCAACCATTCCAGTGTGTACTTATAAGCTTAACTTATCTCCACAGCACATTCCAGAATTGAAATTGCTGCTTGTGCAGACTTGTTTAAATGAACATTTAAACTAGCTGTGTGGGTATGAGAAAAATGCAACTCTGCTGGTGCTGATTCCAAGGGCCAGGTAGTTACTGCGAGTTTAGGATGCCCTCCGGTGTGCTGAGCCCTTTTCTGCCACTGCTAAGAGCAATACTGCTGATTTATGCCTGTGTGCTGCAGCTGCCTCCTGAAATTTCAGGGCAGACATCCACAGAAATCCGAGAGCTGACAGACAAATTTTGCCGTAGCAGTTAGAAGAGGCTCCTGGCTCCATTTATTTGCTCTCTACATTTACTAAAGTTTACTAAACTCACAGCAGAATTAATATAATGGGGCAGGCACCAGTTAGAGTAACATCTTGGTAGAGCGTGGCCAGTGCACAGTTTGATGTCTGTCCTTAAAACTGCCACCTCCACCATTTTGAGGTTTGAGATGTCTCAGCTTTCTGTCCCAGTTTGTTTGCAGAAACAGCTGAGCCATTTGTGAACACACACGCTGGTTCATAACTGAGTCACCCAGACCATCCTGCTGTAAACTGTGGCTGCTCAGGAGCTACTGGATGGGTCAGAACTCTAAGCCTCTGAAGCAAGTGAAACATGTGTTGCCTCTTCTGAGAGAAAGGTGATTTCTGGCAGTAATATCTCAAATTGCTTCAAACAGATTTGCTAGAGTTCACAGAATCACAGAATTGCAGAAGTTGAGGTTGGAAGGAATCTCTAGAAAGTTCATCAATAATCTTTCCATTGGCCAGAATTTGCCCGTTTACTTGCTCAATATGTCTCAGGTCTTGTTGAAGCTCATGTGAGCTGAGATGGTCTGAACATCTTTGGATCCCTGGTGCTCTGCAGCATTGTCCTTGCTCAGGGGAGATTAGGCTGGATACGGTGTAGTGTGCAGCCTCAACTAATGCTGTGCAGAGAAGGAGCAGCTGGGAGAGGCCAGTCCAGCCTGGTCCATATGCAGGCTGCCATCCGTGGATTTGGATGACCAGTATGCAGTGATACCAAGTTCAAAAAACTGTTAAGTAACATATAGATTATAAGGATTCAGCAACACTGAACTGTAAGTAATGTGTAAATCACCCTAGTAGGCAGTGAGAGTATGGCCAGAAATCCTTAATGTGTGACCAGTAATGAGGTAACACAGAGAATATGGGGCTACGGGGTTACTAATTTGTGCATTTGAAATGTTCGACCAGTTCAATCAGACTATCTGTCCTTGGGGCAATCAGGAAGAGCTGGGTACCTTAAAGAATAAGAAATGTCTACAGGTGACAGCTGTAGAATAAATTTTCCTTTTAACACTTGCCCTAGTGCTTCATCTTTGAAGCAAGAGGGTCCACAGAGGGTCCTCAGGCCCTCCATCAATGTTTGGTCCCTTCGTAGTTATCCCTGTGGTGAGTGTGCTGAAAGAGCAGTTATTTGTGAGAGCTGCAGGGAGTCAGAGCATCCGTCCACGAGCACAGTCTGCAGAGGAGAGGCTGTGCTGGGAGGAGCAGCAACCTGGTTGCTCTCTGCATTTTGTTCTCCTTTTATTCTCCTCTCCTCGTACTGGGGATATCATACAGACCAAAGACTCTAATTTTTGCATCTGTCATTTCATATATCGGGTTTTGCCTCAGTATAATGGATGCTCGGAGGTGTGGACTCTCCCTGCCATGCATTTTTGGCTAGCAGCAGGCAATGCATGGGGAGCTGGAAACTTGAGGAGTACTCATGAGTATTGTTACTGCTATAGCCACTAGCTATTTTTTAAATTCATATCACTGTTCACTGCTTTATGAATAGTGCAAAGCTCCTGACCTCAGTCTTATCTCGATGAAGTAAATTCCAAAGCCTTGTCGATCATATTGAAAAACACTTCTTACTGTCAGTTTGACGTTTCCAGTCTTTCAGTATCATTGAACACTGTTTTACAGCAAGTGAAAGAGAACTTTGCACGAGTTCAGACCTGCATTTCCGAGCTGCGCTCCCTACCCAGAGAAGGCTGCTTCCCACGGGGGGGAAATGGAGTGGTACAGGCTGTGCAGGATGGCTTGCAGCAGTTCAAACAATACAGCAGACACACAGCAGCAGGAAGCTCGACTAACAGTTCGGTTGAGGTAAGAAAACGGGCAGATGGTGACAGTGTCCACCAGACTTGCCACTTGTTTTCACATTAAGATGACTGTCTCTGGTATCCGGGTACCATGGGAGGGAAGAAGAAATTAACAAATCAGCCCCTGTAAAGAGACCTGTGTCACAGTCTGTTGGATGCTCTTGGAACATGTCACATTCAGGTTTGAGTTACTTATGGAGAGTCACTTACCTTACAGCATGGAAAAATGAATTTAATTTCCAGATATTTAAAACTGGTCATTTTTTATGCTTTATTTTGAGTACTTTCACAGAAATGTATCAAAGGCAAAGACATTCCAAGTACTTTCTGGACATGATTTTCCTTTGAGCTTGCAGTTACATGCTGTGGTTGTAGTCTTTATATGGAACTTTCACTGATATCAGTAAGACATTTGTGCAGTGGTCCACATTGTGCCTTAAAGTTTGCCCACGATTCATTGAAAGTGCATTTATACAGACAAAGGAAAAGCATTTCATTGAGAGATAGGAAAGGACAGGGAAAGTGTATGGAGTTGTCATTGTCTTGGCACTGTATTCCTTAAGTCATTTTTCAGAGTAAAATGAACATATGGTCAGTATATGGCATAACAGAGTACTTGTTTATAGTTTCCATTTTCCTCTGTCTGGGACAGCTTGGGAATTCCACAGGGCTCCCATTCTGCAGTTTCCGACAGGGCTTCCTTACAGTTTATTGTCCAAGGAAAGGCTAAAAAGACCATTGTAAGTTGTGTGGAGCAGGATGTCTATTCTTAGTGTGTGTCCCTAGAAGGGATAACCCCCTTCACACATCTGCAGTAGACACAAAAAGGATGGTGCAACCTGATTGCTCTCCCCATTGCCCAGAGAATTCCAGGCAGAACCGTGCCTGCTGAATCCAGTCCATCCTGGTGCAACAGCGTTTTATCCCAATTCTGGACTTTGTAAGGCCTTGATTAAGGTACAGCTGGTAATGCATTAAGAGCATTCTCTCTCACATCCCACTTCATTTTCTTATAGGAATAGTGTGCCTAGATGCAACACTAATTCCTCCTCTTCTGACAATTTGCTAGCTTGTATATGCTCTCACTTGCTTGGATTAGCCTGGATAACTGGGTGTCCTCCACTCTGGGATTAATTTGATCACATATCACTTTGTTAATAATTCCAGTAGGTAATCAAATGTTCATCTTCCTGGCAGCAGGTAACAGTGAGTTCTCATGGTTCCTTACGTTAACTTGGTCCTGCAGACCTGCACGCTCAGTCCCATATAAAGAGCTCACGGAATCACAGAATGGTTAGGGTTGGAGGGTCCCTAGAATAGGATCAATATGAAGCTCAGGGCTGGCTGTCATGTTTAGTATGAGCTGCAGCCTGATCAACACTTGTATACCAGCATACCCAAACCAGAGAATGAGGTAGTATTTTTTTATTTTTAAAATCCAAGCAATGAGCAAAGAAAAACCCATTTTCAAACGTGCATGGATTCTGACTTGGGAGATTCTGAGTGGAGGAGAAGAATTCTATAATCCAGGAGATGTAGATGTTCTTCGGAAATTTCCTGCAGCAAACTGTACTTCAGTTGCTGCAAAGAGCCTCTCTGCCAGGGATTCTCTCACGCAGTATTACTGAACCCCTGCAGCTGGACAGGTAAGAACTCTCTGCTGCCCTAGAAGCCTTTTCCTGACAGCTGAACATGTAACCCCCTTCCTTTACCACATTCAGACTGATGCCAGCATCGGAGGCTTTGAATTTCCTTCTTTCTGTAAAATAGCAAATACCACAGGCATCAGTCACATTTGCCACCGCTGACTTCCCCTCTGAGTTGCTCCCTGCTAATTATCTTTCATTCCCTTTTTTTCACTGTCATCCCTTCCCTGGGCTGTTTGTGACATGGGTATCAAATGTTTTTCAAGAATAAATGATGAGGGAGGAAAAAATATATATTTCTTTTGTGGCTTCACTAGCGGATACAATTTATAGTGTTATTCCTATTTCATCTGGAAAATATCCAGAAAAAAAAACTTGAGAAATAACTTGAAGCAGGTAGAGATTTGAAGGGTGCGTTGGATTTTCGCACAGAGTTGAAACCTTCCAAATGGTAATATACCATGTTACCCAAAGGAAGTTTCAGTAGAAGGATTAATTCTGTGTAAAATTTCAAAGACCAAAGCTTTTCCCAAACTAGCAATCTTTTCAGCTCTGCCTGCTGCATAAATTTAACCTCTAAATGAAATTCAATGCGGTGATCAAATCAGTCTTTCATAGATCTAAATGGGATGTAAATAGTGCCTTGGTCTTCATCTCCCTCAGGACCACCAAATAAGGTGCTAAGAAAGCAGAAGAGTGCCCAGTGTTCTCAAACCATTGGTGAAAAATGAGAGCTGGTGATCACTGTAACAGAGAAAGATATTTCACCTGACAAAAGACCATGTTTCCAAAAAATGGCAGAGCAACAATACAAACTCTCCTCTCATCCATTGCAGAAAGCAAAACTGATCTTTCTGGAGATGCTTCTAGGGTCAGCCATTGTGTAAGTCATCTTTCCTTTTCGCAAGCGATCATCTTCCATGTTGTTGCCTCTTCCCTGCCTCCATTTGTCTCTGCTGTAGCTGCGAGGTGTTCCTGACAGTAATCACAGCGCTGTTATTCTGCTAACTGTTCGCTCTCCTTCGGCCACACTAACTGCTGCTGGTCAGGTCAGCATCCTCTGAGGAGCTGACCTGTATTTCTGCTGTGTTTCCATTCAAACTCTTCTGGCTTTCCCCTCTGTTTGCCTCCTGCCACGGAAGGTTTCCAGGCATACCTAAATGCACCTTGCCTTTTTGTTCTGTTGCAATCCAGCATTGCTCTTTCGTAAATACCTTGTGAAAGACATGATGTAAAAAAAGACAAAACAAAAGTGGGCAGCATGCTCAGTGGGACTTTGCTTCACTTTTGCTGTTGCTGTGCTTGTACTGCTCCATGCAGTCATCAGAAGATACAGACAAGTTATTGCTTTGGGCCACTTTAAAGTATTTGTGGAGTATTCTTTTGTTGCATTGCAAACCTGAAAGTTTTTTTTTTTTACATGCAGGCAAGTGATATTGTGAACTGATAATACTATGCCAGCTTTTGTGCCATTGAGTTGTATGTTCACTGTGATCAGCTGACTTGAGAGAAATAGCTGAGGGTTGAGTGGAAGGCCTCCTGTAGCACAGACACAGCACGAGAACGAATGGCTGCAGAGCTGGTGTTAGACAAGTGGTGGCAGTGACCTGCAGAATACCTGTTCCCCCTCTAACAAGGGTAAACCTCAATTTGTCACCAGGAAGGCTCTAATCCGAGGCAGAGGTAGAGGAGCAGTGCATGAGGGAAGGGCAGGCAAAGGAAGGTCAGTGTTACAGAAGAAGTTGGCATCATGGATGAGAAAGAAACAGCAAAGGATCAGACTTGTTTATGTTGGATGGGACCTCAGGAGATCACCTAGTTAAACCAGAGAAAGGTTTCCGCTTAGTTCCCTCCGCGCGGAGAAGCCTGCCACAGAGCTGCGTGCAGGCACGGAGAGCCACGGTGCTCCCCAGCCCGGAGCCGGCCGCGCCGCGGGGCTGGCACGGGAGCTGCGCCGGCCACGGAGCTCATCTCCAGCACTGCGAGGAGCAGCTGGGGGCAGAAGTGCAGGGTGTGAGAAGCCCGTGATGCACGCGCTGAATGTGAGCTCTTAAGGAAGTGCTACAGTTGTAACAGAAGCACAGTTTCTTTAGAGTGAGACCTGGGCGGGCAGCATTTACGGCACGTGAGAACTGTTGGTACCTTGTTTGGGTAAATCAGAAGCAGTTTTCAGGAAATGGGCATTTTGGAACAGTTAAACTACGAAGAGGTAAAAGTATTTTTAACTGACTGCAAGCATGGAGTCAGATTTTTTACAATCTGTAATTTGTTAAATCCCTGATGCCTATTAAAGTATTGAAAATGCTCTTTCAACGTCCTCACTTCAGAGAGCAACACCAGCAGCACCAGTGAAACTGAACCTCAGCAGTATCTGCAGGACAGGGGATGTGAAGACGACCCCATTCCCAAGTGGATAAGTTCAGCAGTTTCTGCTCCCTGCCGCAATGGAGAGGAGACTTGAGGAGTCCAGCAGTGCAATCACTACCTGCCCATCTCTGTGCAGCAGCAGAGCATTTTGGGAAATGACAAAGCTCTGTGAGAAATGCATCCAGTTCCTAGAGGCAGGCGGCAGCTCAAGCATCTCCCAGTGTGAGAACAGCTGCTTCTAGGAAGCACATCGTGGTTGCCCCTTTCAAGCAGTCAAGTTACAAATCAGACTCCAAATCTTCATGTTGGGTGGTGATTAACAATAAGCTATGGCTTAGGTAGTGATCAGGAGCAGATATTTTCATTTGTCTTTTGTAATACTGAAGCTTGAGTGCAAAGTAGCCTTACCTTTCCCTGTTCTCCTCCTCAGCCAAGAATAACAGAAAATAAAATCAGTGAATTAAAGTCTTAAAATCACTGGATTGCAGAGCTACTAAAAAAGGAAAAGAAAAAAAAAAGAGGCAAGAGATTTAGACTTGAATCCCAAGAACTAGCAGCACAACCATTTCGATAACGTGTAACAGGTTATATCAGTACGGAATTTATTAACAGTAAGCCAGTGCAATCGGTCCCACTACTCCCACAGTGATCGTTATGTTTGCTATCTATACGTACTTAGTTGTGCCACTTGCACAAACAACAGTTGGAGTCTCTCCTATGCCAAGTACAGCCAGTACAAATGGCACTGAATATCAGTGCAAAGTCAAACAGCATGCTAAGTACTCTCTGGTCTGAATCCCAACATCTTGGCTCAGCACAGTGAGTCGCAGACTCTTTGTGTCATGCCCTGAACCAGGTCCCATTCCATCTTGTTCCATTAGTGGCACAAAATCTCTTGGCATTTCTGCACTGAGCCTCTGTATCCACTTAATGTTTGCTTAAATAAAGCCAAAGCTTAAATGATGCCTTTAAATCCGCTCCTGAATAGATATCTTAGCACTACTTCTCTCCTCCCTCCACCATGGTACCTGTGCTATGCAGGCTGACAGCAAATTAGGGTTAGAGGCAGCTCTTGCACTGACTTTATGGTATCTATTTCAGATTACAATTCTGACTAGCGAGTCAGGCAAAGAAATGGTGAAGCAGCTGGAAAAGAAGTTAAAAGATGTAGATCTTGTGAGTCTGCGAAGACTACAAATCATTGAGGTGCTGAAGAGAGACTTGCTGGAGCCTGAGGGTGCGGAGCAGAGTGTGCCAGCAGAAGAGCCTGGTAGTGATGGTGAGTACAAATGGGACAGGACGTCATGACTTCTGACAGCAAGACAACCACTAGCTCTCACTTTGGTCTGGTATCTGCCACTATCCTCAGTGGCAATACTGGAGTATTGTGTCCAGTTCTGGGCCCCACAGTACAAGAGGGATGTGGAGCTGCTGAAGAGAGTCCAGCACAGGGCTACAAGGATGAGCAGGGGCCTGGAACATCTGCTCTATGAGGAGAGGCTGAGGGAGCTGGGCCTGTTCAGCCTGGAGAAGAGAAGGCTGAGAGGGAACCTGATCAGTGTCTGTAAGTACCTCAAGGGAGAGAGTGCAGAGGATGGTGCTGGCCTCTTTTCACTGGTGGGCACCTACAGAACTAATGGCCACAAACTGAAACACCAAAAGTTCCACAGGAACTTATTCTTGACAGTGAGGGTGACAGAGCCCTGGAACAGGCTGCCCAGAGAGGTTGTGGAGTCTCCTTCACTGGAGATCTTCAAAACCTGCTTGGACGCAGTCCTGTGCCACATGCTCTAGGTGACCCTGCGTGTGCAGGGGGGTTGGACTAGATGACCTCTAGAGGCCCCTTCCAACCTTAAGCATTCTATGATTCTTTCCCCTTCTTAGCTACGTGCTTTATTTATGCTTAGAATACTTTATCTCAGCTCATAAGCTTGTATTGCTTCTGTAACGCGTAATTGCCCATCAATAAGTTCTTTATGACCCTGTAACGTTTATTTTTCAACCCAAGCTTCCATTTTGAAGGTCTTTGCTCCCAAAACCCAACTGAAGCTTACCATAACTTAAGCCCGCAGTATTTCTTTTAGCAGACAGCTATCTTGGCCACATATTTACAGATTTTATGTTTATGACCTAATTTCATTTCCTTTATAACACAGAGATACAGTTTTATTAGATTTCTGAATCAAGCCCAGAGTTTCTGGAAGATCCAGGGCCTTTATCAAGACATCTAGTTTTAATGTAAAGAAATAAGCTGAAGAACTCTGTTATATATCAGCAAGCGCTATCCTTTAGCATTGGTGGAGGTTTGGAAGCTAAAGAAATTTGGAAAGATTAGCAAAGAAGAGCTACAACTCTTGATTATTACTATACAATTATTTGCTTCACGTTATAAAGGACATAAGTTTTGTTAATCACAGAGTTCTTGAAAGGAAATAGCAAGTACTCATGTATAACATTAGGGCAGTCAGGCAGATCTTTTACATGCAACAGTAGCACTGTTTTATTCTTATCAAACCTCAAAAACAAGATGGTCATTTATTTCAGTATGTGTGGTTATACTATTTAAGGTGGCACGAAAGTGAAATTCTAAGCACAATTTGCAAAAACACTACAGCTGAGGTGAACATTATATCTGTATTTATACCAAGCCGTTTCAATTTAGTGCTTTCAGGATGGCACTACAAATGGTTAAAAAAATAAAAGAAGAAACTCATTGCAAATCTCACCTGATGGAGGTGAGAATTTCAAGAGTGGCTGATGGCCAAACATAAATCACTGAATAGGAAGCAAAGTTTCATCTTTATCGTGCTTTGGAAGCACAGAATACTTCAGTGCTATTTAGAAGAGCCTGGTATAAACTTACTTTCAAAATGGAAGAAGTAACGTAGCAACCAACTACATGAGCTGAAAACATTTACTAGACCATCTGCTTCACTAAAGAAGCTTGCAACAGCGAGCAAAATCATTTCAGCAAACCTTGCACTGCAGGCAGCACAGGGAGCCCGGGAGCTGTGAGGAGGGGTCGTGGTGTGAGACTGCTGCACACATGGTCTGACACATGGGTGGATGCCAAAGTGGGACCCCACTTGCATGTCCCGAGAGTCCTCTCTTATTTGCCAGAACTATTTCCTTATCTTAGCTGCGTTAACCTTGAGAAACTACCGTCTGGGAGGCAGTGAAATTGTTGACCGAAGGGGATATGGCTGCCTGGCCCTGAAGGACTGCTCACGCTGCGCCTGCTGCCCACGTGCTCAGCCAGTCACTGACTCCTTGCCAAACTCCCTCTGCAGGTCTTCTCACTGCAGCTGGTGTGCCAGACAGATGCTGGACCTACCCTGTGAGAGAATTGCTCAAGAAAGGGGAAATTAGAGAAAAACTAGGGCCTAACAGAAGTTATGTCATTACAGAGCCTTGCTTGAAGTGAAAGACAATTACCACTTCCAGCATGGTTGGTATGTGCGGAATCTACTTCTGCACGATTCCCTGGGCAACACAATCTGCCCTCCTAGCACACACTAGTAAGAGTAAACAAAGAATGGAGACACCATGGCCAAACTTTGTTGGCTTCCCTGGTGGTGGTGGTGCCATGCAGAGGATGAGGGAATGGAGGCTGGAGCAGAGGGAAGACACCGCGGCCAAACTCTGTTGTGCTCCCTGCAGAGGCGACTACCTGGTCATACCATGCAGCTGATAAGCCACATAGTCCAGCAATGGTGGCAGATCAGTCTGATGAACTTTGAATCTCATTATAATACCAATACACAGGCTGTTTGCTGCTGCCAAGCTGGCAGAGGGACATACTGCATGTTTTATGCCTTTTGCAAATGGTTCATCACATTCTGTTTTTTCACCTTTGTCCATTATGTCTTTTAAAATTCTATTTGCTAGAGTTTATGGTACATTCTCATTTGTACATACCTTCGGGTTATTATTTTGCAGTGATTAGAGTTTGGGCTTCTATTTGAAAGGCTTTCGTGGTGTTTATGATCTCTCTAACTCTGACTGTCCAGCCAGACTGGCATCCATTTTTCCATTCCGTTGTTGTAGGAATTTATATATTTGCTCTGTACTTCCAATGTGGTATCTTAAGTACTTGCCATGTCCCTCCAAGCATTTCTGGCCTCACCTTTTAATTTCTTTTGAGCAAGTCTCCTAACTTTATTCATTTCCCTCGTCTGGGACTGAGGGGTAGCTGTGGTAGATAGCTTTGCCTGTTGGTGCAAGGATGTTGAACTCAGAGATCACTGTTACCAAGCAGCTCTTCAGGGTGCTGGTCAGATCCAGGTCAAGCTTCGCTTCTGCTCTTCTCAGGCCTGTGACTAGAGTTTCCTATAAACAGGCAGGGAGGGTGTTGAGCACTATAGCTGTGGGACCATGCTGCAAAGTGGTGTTTATCATTTACGTTAGTAGTAGTAGTTTTCTGCTGCCTGATACTGTGAAGTTTCCCATTAGTGTAGTATTTTGGTTTTGCAGTCTCTCTGATTTCACAAAGAATCATGTATCTGGTGTCCCTTGTTAGGGCAAGGCGGGGAATGGTTTAAAATTGCTGAGAAAAGTCCTCAGGGCCAGAGTACAGCAAAGTAAGACTTCTTTGCATCGTTCACACTACTAGTCCTCAGCCAATTCACCTGCCCCTCCACTAAGAAGGGTGTTGGTTTGGCCTGGGGGTGCCTCTGAGGAGAATGGGATCAAGTACCGTGTTGTGATCTGCATGGTGAGGGCCTCTGAAGTGCCTCCTGTGAGAAAGTGCTTGAGAAACTAACTGGGTATAGTATGGTAGAAAAGGCCGAGGATTGTTCTTTTTATGGCTGAAAATGTTTCTGCAATTTTCATCTACAGACATTGCAATCCTGGGAATGGACATTGATGTTCAGACAGTAGAGGACAGTGTCATCAGCTTGGAGATGCTGCTTAAAACCTGGCTTCATGACTATGGCACAGACAGAGAACAGCTCCATCTCCTCCTTCCATCAGGAGGCTTTGGCCACGCCACTGCCACCAAGAGCAGTCTAAGTATTTCATGTTGTTTCCTTTTCTGCTAGGAGTTCCTGACTCCCACAGCCTCCAGATTAACCAGGCCTTTCCAGGGCATGTTCCCCCATTTACAGAACAGTGTGAGGCCTCTGGGTTACTCTGAGGTCTTTCTGTAGTTTCTGTTCTCAAAGACTGAAAAGAGTCTCTTGCTTAGACAACATCAAGTTTGGTGAAATGCCCTGCAGCTGCTGACACAATATTCCATTTCCGTGCCCTGAAGAGGATATGAGTTTTAAACAACTTGGTCAAAATAAAAGGGACCTGACATAGCTGAGATGCAGGAACCTTCTGTTTCAAGTATGTGGTCCCAAACTTCATCTTCCTGGTGCTTGATACTAAAGTCCTGTGCCAAAACTGCACTTAAATAAATGCTGTTTTACAAAGCGATTCAGATTAAACTTCTACATATTGATTTAGCATGGAAATAGCTAATGTTACATCTGGAGCTGCCAGGAGTTATATTTTAAGAACACAGGAAAATGTATAAGCTTTATGCATTTTTTTCCTTTAAGGCCCTAAATTCCAATTCCTAACACACTTTTGGGTGAGCACTGCAACTGGACAATAGATATAGCAGAGGTGGGTGCTTCCCAGAAGCAGTTGTTGGCTGTGTTGTCACCATTGCACTGCCATGGGAATCTGCACATGAAATACAAGTAATCCCATTTCTCTGCCTCTGAAATATGGTACTGTTTTATAATTCACAGCTTCCCATTACCATGGCAGCAGATGGTACCTGCCATGGTACCTGCTTTCTGATGGTGGTCCATGGGCCAGGTCCAGTGTGGAAGCAAGTTGATATTCTGTCTTGCAGGTTTGCTCTGCATCAGGCAGATCAGAAAGCTTGGTGTGACTTCATTTACACAGCAGCCAGCATAAAAGCCTCCAGACTGGCATAGACAATTTTTATGATAGTTTGTTAAAAGTTGATTTTCCTCCATCGTAACACTGAATTTCATACTTTACACACTGCCTTATTATAGCCAACAACACAATGTGAATTAGTCTATAGTCAGTTTTTGTTCCATCTTGCTGCAATCAAAGAGTACGTAAAAGGCCAGAGATATTGCTGCATAGGTTGTATTATACCGGAGTGATGTGTTTCCCCACAAATACAGAGTCATAGGTTGTATTATACCAGAGTGATGTGTTTCCCCACAAATACAGAGAGAATAGCTGGCAGGCAAGTGTAGCCCTAAACGCAGTGTGGGATTAGGAAATCTGCTTCTGCTCTGTCTTACCCCAGGCAGACAGGCATTCCACTCCAAGACCAGAGTTTGCCAGCCCTGTTTCCAACCAGCTGTTTTTCAATCAGTTACCAGCATGGCCATGGACAGGGTGGCAGAGAGGTCATTCTAGGGAAGGGAGAGGCCAGTGTACATGCTGGAGCTCTGCTCTGGGTTCTGTGCAGCGTCGCTGTGGTCCTCGTACATCAGTTCATCATCCATAGGAACACATGGAGTGCTTGGCTGTGAGGGACGTGGTAGTGTCTCTTTTGTACAAAATGGGGAAAACTTGTTGCCTTGTGTCACAGGCTTTACTTTTGTTCTTCATAGGGGCTACAAAGACCACAAAGTCATTTCCTTTTTTTCTACTGGAAAGAGGTTAGAGAAGTAGTTTTGTGCTTGGAAAGCACCCCTAGTCTGACCTCAAATCAGACCTGCAAAGAGACGGACTGTGGTATGTTTACAGTTGAACTTGATGATCTTAAAGGTCTTCTACAACCATAATGATTCTATGATTCCTTTGTAGCTGCTGTTGAGAGCAAACATGAATTGAGTGTTTGCAGGTACTTTGAGCATGTCGTGTGACAAGCATTGTAATTTCCAGCAATCTAAACCAATTTCCCTCTTTTAGTGTGTCTGAAGTGTGATCTGCAGGAGAGATTGCTTGACCCAGCTCTAGTTGATGGCACACGAACAGCGGACCTGAGCTCATCCTGCCAGCTGGCTTCTTGGCCAGCCACAGCACTGTATAGACTTCGAGTTGTAAAGTAAGTGTTGTCTTATGCTTTGTGCTTGGTGGTTGGAAGGCTGAGGTAGTAGCAGCCTTCATTCTTTCTGTGCAGTTTCAACTAGGAACATCAACATAAGGAACTGGGGACTTGGCGTCCTAGTGAGCAAAATCCTAATGCGTGATGTGCCCTGTAACTCTTAGTGTTGTGCAGTTGCACAATCTACCTACACGTGCCGAAAGGAGTGCAGAGTCAAAATGCTGTTGTATCAGCCTTTTAGAAGAGTGAAAGCAGATGTTACACAGGCAATAATTATTTCCCTGAAGTGTGAGGCCAACTAACTGTCACTCCCAGTATACCATATATAATACTGCTCTTCCCTCCCTACCTGATGGTACAGTGATGAACTCTCCTTAAGAGACTGAGCTAGTCAGCCGACTAACAGATAAGAAATCAAGCAAAGCCTCACAGTGCTAGGTGAGCTCAGGGAAGCATTCCTTCTCTTTCCCATCTGCAGTGTGTGCCAATAGGCATGCAGAATGACAAGAAAAGTGATGTTTTCTCCTGTCTTTTCTGGGACTTGCTTATATTCAAAATTGTATGTAATTACACCCATCTGTGTGGTGGTTCTTCGAGTGATTCTCAGCCTGTAGGCAGGAGTACTGTGTAGCTGTCTGTAGACTGCCCATGACCAGAGCAGCGCACTGCAGAGCGTGCAGTGGTGCTTTGGGGGGATGCTGGCTATGTGCAGGAGCAGAGCACAATATGTAACAGCTTAAGTGATGGATAGTTACAATCCAGTAAATTCACTTAGGAGGGGATGTAATTGCCAGGGTGTGTTATTGCCCAAGAGGACAGATTAAGAAGCTGTTCTGGATGAAGATCCGACATGCTTCTGTCAGTACTGAAAGCAGAGTGCTGAACATGCTGGGGAGTGCTAAATTCAGTGCTGATCAGCAAGAAAGACATGCCAGTCCTTTCCACTGCAAATTTACTTCTCTGAGAGTTCACCGTGACAGGCCATAGCAATACAGACAGCAAATGCTTGTAACAGTATTGCAGGTGATACTGTCATGACAAGCTGAATTTGCCAACCCCAGACAGAGTCTTCCTGCTGGATGCACTTCACTGACACAAGCTGTACATTTTCAGAGCTCTGAAGGCAGAAGGGGTCTGTGAGTCAGTACTGTATGGACTGCCCTTCATCATCAAGCCTACAAGCTGCTGGCAACTAGACTGGGATGAATTAGAAACAAACCAACACAGCTTCCATGCTCTATGTTACAGTCTTCTGGTGAGTGTGTGCAAATTGCAGTCTGATGGAGCAGGATTGACATGGAAAGGAAAAACCAGGACACATCTGGTGAGATCCATCTAGCTTCCACCAAAAACATGTTTCAAAACCTGTAGCTTCATTGCATAGGTTAGAGTTGGGCCTGTGAGTCCTTCCAGCCAATGGAAAGAAGCTACTGTATATAAAAGCTAAGAGAAAACTCCCCAGTCTATCAGAAATCCAATGCTTACAGTTATGAGGTATAAAATTCTGGGTTGGAGATAGAAATACGTTTTAATTGTGAAAATAATTAACCAAAGCTAAGAATGTGAAGGACTTTTTGTTAAATAGAAAGTCTTAAATCAAAATTGTATATATTTTTTAAGAATCATCACATATTTAGTTAACAAACTCGAGTCATCCTCCAAATAATGCAAAATAGAGTTCACCTTCTGATATATATGAATGTCTTTCTGCCTCTCAGCCCAGCAACCCATACAATGAAAGTGTTGAAGTGACTAGCGTCCACTGATCATATTGGTTTTGGCTTTTGATATTTAGAAAAGGAACTGGATGCTTTTGGCCAAGTGTGAGCCACAAAACACTAGTCCAAGCTGGAACATCATGGTGCATTCCTACTACATCATCATCCCTTCTGACTCTGCCACGCTGCTTGTCAAAGCAGTCGCCGTCAGAGAGCTCCTGCTGCCATCAACCTTCCCAGCCCTCCTAGCTGAGCATCCTGAGACAGTGTGTGGCCCTATAGAGGCAAGTCACTGATGACCCTGCACAAGAACACATATTAAAAATCCCATGTGTGCAAGCAGGGATTGGGTAATAATCACATTTTTTGCACAGGACATGCTGTTGCTGCTAAGGATGTATTTATCTTCCCTATTGCTTGGGAACACGGATCTCCTCACACTGCAGGAAACGGGTAGTATTTTTAGGCATAAGATAAATCAACACAAGGGGTCTCTGTTTCTTCCAATAGACTCCGGGTTCTATATTTCCTGTTGTGCAGCCCTATGTGTTTTTCTTGAGTGTTCTAGCTCTGCTTCAGGTGCTACCAGAAAGGACAGAGCCCTGACTGCAGGCTTTAGTAAATGAAAAGAGGAAGAAACAGCTGTGAAAATGTCTAGTGCCAGCTGGAGTATAACGGAGCACTCCAAAACTTCCTCCCAAGAGTTTACATATATATTTTTATATATATGTATATGTATATATGCCTTGCAGTTTTCTTCTCAAACAGTAAATGCCTGTCCATAGAAGCAATGTTGCTGTGTGGGATGGTGATTTCCCTCAGCTCTGAGGCTGGGAAGCCACTGGAATGCAGAAGCAGAAGTCCCAGGCCTGAAGTATGAAAGAGACCCTATTTCCTGCTGCTGTAACAGCCTTGCAGTACTTCTCAGATGAGCCTGAGAAAAGCCCACCCTACAAGATTTTTGTCACAGTCCCCAAAGTAGAGCAGAAAGACTTGGAGCCTGCCTTATTCAAGGGCACAAGGGAGAAACCTGAATGGCAGAAAAACAAAGGCCCCGTGCTCTTGACATCAGAGCTGCCCATCCTTCCCCCCACTGAAATTCCTCTGGGGATACACGGTGGTTAGTGATGGAGCTACTCTGACAGCCCCTGCACAGAGCAGGGGGAGCTGCATGGGGAGATCTCCAACAGCTAAAAGCATCTGTCAAGGCAGGAGACATCTATGCATGAGGCTTGTGGGCAGGGGCAAGGCCAGGGCAAGTGGAGGGGATTGCAGGAGCAGAAAAGAGGCAGCAACTCTGAGGTGAAGGTGCAACAAGGGGTGGTGGGCCTGGCAGAGTAAACAGGGGCCAGTCCATTGGGAGAGAGAAGCATTAGGAAGCAGAGTGTGAAGGGAACAGTGTCCAGACAGGGTGCTCCAGCTTCTTGGCCTGTTCTGGGTGCACGGCAGGAATAGTACCGTATCCTGCAAGGGAATGCAGAAATCTATCAAGACGGGTGCAGACACCTATTGCTCCGTACATGGCCAAGAGCAGTCCTCGTGGCTAGTAGGACAGCCAGAGGCCCCTTTGCCCATGACTGCACAATGGCAAAGAGCATCTGCAGCGCTTATCCCTGGGGAGGGAAAACAAAAATCCAACACCCTGTTCCCCCCACCCTCCCTGAGCCCCAGATTGAAATGCTGCAGCTCCCACCCATCACACTGCACCTCCAATGTGCCGCTTTCTTCCATCTGAGCAGAGCGCCCTGAACAGCCTGGAAGTGGAAGTTACTTACAACCCCTTGCACCTGAAAAACAACCTCTACAAGTACCTGAAGAATGTGTTGCGCAGACCCGGGCAGAGGCAGCAAGCTCAGCCCAGGGACCAGCGGCCGGAGCGGCACCCGCCCAAGCAGGTATGTCTGTCATCTTCAGCTGGCCCAGCTAGGCCCTGTTCTGCCTTTCTAGCCCCCTTCCTTGACAAGAGCTGAGGGCAGCTCTCCAGTACCCCAAAGGTTCAGGGAAGGCAACATAGGACAGGGGCAACGTTCACTTGCAGCTGGAAGAGCCAAGAGGGAGGGCTGTAGCATATGTACATAGGCTCAGAGAAGGGATACTGGGCAATCAGCACATGCAGGCACAGGGAGCCAGAGTGCTGTGAGCTGCTTGACAAGCCAGCTCCCCCTTGCACATTAATGTTTTGTCCTGCATTGCAGCATCAGAGCAGAGCCAAAGCCACGGTAGCACCTCTTCTGATGGCTCCTTCCCCTGTCCAAGTGTTCAGAGCAGCAGCAGCAAGGAGAGATTCCTGCGAGCAGTCGCTCCTTCTCGGAGAGGAGGATGAGTTCCTCGAGGCCCTGCAGTGAGGATACCCGTGGGCAGCGCTGGCCTGTGCATGTGCAGCCACGGTGTGGCCTCTGCCGGGCTGCAAACCTTCTGCACGGGGCGGAAGCGGTCAGGCCAGACACTGAGCTGGGCCCCGGGCAGGCACTTCCCACTGTTTGTTCCTCCTTGTTGTTTTATGGTTTTGTTAGTCATCAGTCAGCCTGCTGCCCTGGGGCCCTCTGCCCAGAGCTTCGGCTGTCCTTGGCAACACCCCCTTTCCCTTCCTCGTCAGCACACATCACCAGCGTACAGCACATGCTGGTTACTGAGAAGAAGCAAGTACAACCCACAAACCACAGACTGATGTCAGTGAGCGCAGAGAGCTGCAGCAGGGCCGCGAGGAAGTCAGGCAGATATATAAAGCAGGCACAAACGGCAAGCCCTCGTCATCCTGCAGCGATGGGTTCAGCAAGGTGTTTAGATAAGCATGAAACAGGGCTTTTGAATCTAATCTGAAAGCCCTAAGCACTTCCCTCTTGAGTGCCTGCTATGACAGCGTTTTGCCTGCTTCCGTATTTGAGCTCTGTGTTCAATCCCTCCTCTCGCCAGCTCTCCGAGGGGGTTGGAGGCAGTGTCCCAGCCAGCAGCAGTGTCCTAGCCGGCTCCGTTATCGTGACTGCCGGTGCAGCTCTCCTCTTCCAGCCAACTGCTGCTTGGGCTCGCTCCTCCTGGCCCTGCTGTGCCTTCAGGGTGGGTCTGCAAGGCAGCATTGACAGGGCTGAGAAGCACGGAGATGGCCTGAAGTTTTCCAGAGAGGTTCTGCCCAGTGTTTGCCCAGAGGCCAGTTTAGGGCAGGCAGAGGAGAGCTGCCTCGGCTGAAGCGGGACAGGGCAGACTCAGCAGGGCTTCCTGGGTGCTGAGTATCAGCAGAGGGTGGTGGTGGCTTCCACGTGCATTGTTCTGATGGTCTGTTCCGAAATAAAGTTCTCCTGTGTCACTGTTAACCCACAGCCAGTAGTTTATAGTGTGCATGGTGTGCAGCACTCCTAGCACTGACCTGTCTTTCTTGAGAAACAGGCACTGTTGGCCAAGGCCGTGGTGCAGGCACCACGCTCCATGGGGGTTGCAATCTCGGCCCTGGCTGGGAGGCAGCCCC